GCAAGCTGAAGTATTCAAATAACGAACTTGCAGCAAAAAGATGTCCGAGCGCTCCATCATGGCTGTGGTAGCGTGCCTCGAATGACTGGCGCAGGATAACGGCTTTTGCAGAGGCATCGTAGCTGAAGACCAGTGTTGGCAGGCTCCTAATGCTCCCAACTTGAAATCCACAAAGATGGGTCCCAGGAGCCACTGTTTTCCCGTGGTTGGCTGGAGAACGATCAATTCCGTGGCGTCCTCTGGTTCGTCCAGCATATGGGCCCCATCATTGCTGGCGATGCTCAGAAGTAGTATAATCTGCAACAAAAAGATGCGTGAGTGCTTCATCACGGCTGTGGTAGCGTGTCGCCCACATTTGAGCTTTTGGAGCAGGCGATTTCGGTTTATCTCATTGTAAAAAGTGATGCAAGTACTATAGAAATTCCCGCAGTTCCTCACAGTGCCATAAAAACTATTGTTACTGCAATTATAACACACAATTATTCGCAGCAAAAAGATTGCTGTTGGAAGTGTTGTAATAAAAGGGGATAAAAAGCAAAACACAGAACTATGACCTCATTGCCTTTAAATCTCGCTGCAAGTACTAAATCAGTCCCATCTTCGACAATTGCAAAGCAACAAAACTATTTAAACATAGCGAATAAACCACACATGTCACAACAAGCATTTCTCCCTAAAATGAAAGTAATGGGAGGAAGATTCATACGAATGTTCCTCAAGTAATCCGTGGCACCGGAACAATGATTGAGAGCGCTTTTCCTCCCACGCAAGGCATCAATAATCATTCCAGCCAATGAGAAGCTACTAAAAAAGGGAAACCAAGGGTTGGACACTCTTCTCGGAAAGTGGCCACTTTTTGCTTGAGCACATATTTTAATAGTAACTTTTACGTAGGCAAATATAAGCGAGTAACTCGGGGTTCCTCAATTTTATGAAAGAACAGACTTGTTTTCGTCTATGGAAGCTCATCGTGGAACGGAAGTGGTTTGTGTACTTCAGTCCTATTTATTATCGAGCGGTAATACATCATATCTGCTGAAAGTATTTAATGAATCATAGCGGCCAAAGCAGGTGGCATGTCGTCATCTGCTTCCAGTCAGCATCTAATTAAGAGCCTCAAGTAAGAGTGTGTTCAACTGCTAGATCAAGGCATGTCATTTGTTTATGGGCGCCATTACATTGCAAAATTTTGCTGTTGGTTACGGGGCTACGGACAGTTTTTCAACGTAAATCCGGTAATAAACAGATGCTTGAAGATTTTACGCGAAGAATAAAATAGCACTTTACCATAGACACCATTTTTCTTTCGATAGGTTAAGCAATTTTTACACGCAGAAAACTGTATAATCCGCCATCTTTAACGCCGCCATGAAATTGCAAGCACACTCCATGGTTTAAGTTGAAAGCACTCTTACTTGAGGCTCTATAGCATCTAATGACGTCGGTGGTGCCATCCCGTGGTATGTTATGCAAGCACGGCCGTCGTTCGCGCGGTAGGCCTACCTCACTCACCTCTAGTATAGGGGCCTAGAAGGCGCTTAGCCTTGCTCAGAGTCGGGCGCGAGTGAAGCCATCGGAAGTTCGATGCTTATACCAGAAGTCGAGTGTTTGCTGGGTTTTATAGCGCATTTAGTTAATGTTTTGGTTCATGCTTTCTTGCATTTTTACGTGGGATTTAATAATCCCTTTTAGTAATCAAATTTGAGAATGAGGAATTTGAACTTGGGGAATTTACACTTAATCAACTCGAATCTCGAAATTATCAAGACATGAAATGACTTCCAAAAAGACTTCTCGGACCTGCATGAACTGTTATTGCGCGACAAGCAGGATCTCTTGATATAATAAAAGGAAATCAAGCGCCTTGGAAACTGTTTAGACCACCGCTCGTAAGAGTGGGAAAGCCTGTCGAGCGCTCACTTCCGGGACAAGCCGCTTACTTCCACTGGCTTCGTACCTGTTCGCTCAATGCACCATCAGCCCTTTAGTGGAGATTAGTGGCCTTCCTGGAAACAAACCTGCCATAGACAAGAACGTTTTCTACATATAAACTCACTGATCTCCATGACAATTGTACGATCGCGCATCCCCGCTCCCCGAGTGCGGCCACCAGACGGCAACCTTGCATGTCGAAAAATCGCGTTTTTGGAGCGTTGCGGAGGCTGGCTGCAGCGTGCTGAAGACAGATTTTCTATTCGTTCGTCGTCATTCGCCAGAAAACGCTTTTTTAAAACCCTGTGTAAGTCGGATATTTGCTGATGAGAACAAGTGTAAATTTTTAAGGAAGCGCAGTGCCGCAAGAAAAAGGCACAACTCGTCAAAAGCAAGTTTCGACGGTCTAGCGGCATGATTAAAGCTTCCTTGGCATGCCGAAGCGCTGAGTCTCTGTGCCTTCGCACGCTTCGATACCGATCAAGAATTGGTGCTGCGGAAACGTTTTGAAGTTGTGTCGTGCATAGATGTCTTTGCATCTTATATCGGCTAAAAAGGTCTGGAGCGTCCAGATGTTCAGGTGAGTTGATATCAATAAAGGGGGGAAAGCAATCTGTACAGTTGCTCTTATGCACTATTGACCATGGCTATGTTCCAAATCTACTCTAATAGACCACATAGCAGCACAAATAGAGCAACACTGTAGAGCAAGGACGCTTTTCGAAGGCAAAAGTACAAGACGGCGAGAATGAAAATCTTTGAAGTGCGGTCCATATGGTTGTGTGCAGTCTGTTGACCAATCACAATTAGGCGAGCCGTGCTCAAACGTCAAGTGAAATCAGGTAGGTTGATAATGAGACACCGCTGATCACTGCTGAGGAGCTGTTGTGCGCGGTATTCTCTGAACCGTCTAACAAAGAAACAAAAGACGTACCTTCCCCCCCTCTTCTGTCGCCACTTAGTTACAAATACAGTCGTCACTGTAAAGTAAACCGCTGCTCCAGAGCCACATACGGATACAGGCACATTACACTCGCAAAACACATCCACATGGTGTCGATTCTTGACCGGCATCCAAGCGCGCGAAGGCATAGAGACGCAGCGCTTCGGCGTGCCAAGGAAGCTTTAAACACGCCGCGAGACCGGCAAAACTTGCTTTCGACGAGTTGTGCTTTTTTTCTGCGGCACTGCGCTTCCGTAAAAATTGTCACGTGTTCTCAACGGCAAGTCTCACGTCTTACATAGGGTTTTAAATAACTTCTTCGGTGAATGACGACGAACGATTAGAAACCGTGTCTTCAGCACGCTACCGCCAGCCTCCGCAACGCTCCAAAAGCGCGCTTTCTCAACATGCAAGATTGCCGCCTGGTGGCCGCACTCGGGCTGCAGCGATCCAGCGGGGATACGCGTTCCAGCAATTGTCCTAAACATCAGTGTATAAACTCATAGAGATCATACATACTAACTCTAGAGGAAAAGGTCCGCCATTTTCCCATACATTCTGGCTGCCGCAAGCGGCGGAGCATGCAGGCAGACCCTCGGGGTCCCAAACACGGTTACATTATCAGAGCAGTTTCGTGAACTTCAACAATCCACGAACTTACCGGTGGAAAGATATTCGCGTTCCTTTCGAAGCTTTTTTTTTTGCATAGCGCGCAGATGTACGGCCTCGCGTTAACGCTAAACTAAACCATATACCCGGCTTCGCCGGTGGGGCGCGGGTGGGCGCGGTTGAGGAATACGAAACTGCGGAACTACCAGATTTCCGAGATTTCGACAGAAGGGAAGTTAATGTAGCTTAATGACTTTATTGCTTTTTATAAGCGTTGGAATAGCTCAGAATTTAGTTTACAACGTTAAATTATCACTGTTTATATTGCTGAGAGCTTTCACTCTTCGCGTTTACCATGGCAACGTTGCTTTCTTTCTCTCGTGTTCTGTCGCTCTCTTTTGCGTTCGTTCACTCGAGACCCCGGGCGTCGGCGCACGGGATTTGCCACTCCTCCTCACCCACCTTTACGCCCCTGTATAAACTAGAGAAAACACGACATGCTCTTAAATTCAGAACGCGACAGCGTTCATTATGATTATTCAACGAGTGCGGTTCAGTGTTTCATATTAAAATCTGATCTCTCCGGTTCTTACCGCGCCCAAAAGCGAAAAAGTGACGGTGCCCGAAAGCAAAAAAGGACGGCGCCCGAAAGCAAAAAAAGGTACGAACAGAAAGAGTTCCGGAGAGTCCACTCAGCCCCATAGAGATCATACATACTAACTCTAGAGGAAAAGGTCCGCCATTTTCCCATACATTCTGGCTGCCGCAAGCGGCGGAGCATGCAGGCAGACCCTCGGGGTCCCAAACACGGTTACATCATCAGAGCAGTTTCGTGAACTTCAACAATCCACGAACTTACCGGTGGAAAGATATTCGCGTTCCTTTCGAAGCTTTCTTTTTGCATAACGCGCAGATGTACGGCCTCGCGTTAACGCTAAACTAAACCATATACCCGGCTCCGCCGGTGCGGCGTGGGTGGGAGCGGTTGAGGAATACGAAACTGCGCAACCACCAGATTTCCGAGATTTCGACAGAAGGGAAGTTAATGCAGCGTAATGACTTTATTGCTTTTTATAAGCGTTAGAATAGCTCAGAATTTAGTTTACAACGTTAAATTATCACTGTTTATATTGCTGAGAGTTTTCACTCTTCACGTTTACCATGGCAACGTTGCTTTCTTTCTCTCGTGTTCTGTCGCTCTCTTTTGCTATCGTTCACTCGGGACCCCGGGTGTCGGCGCACGGGATTTGCCACTCCTTCTCACCCACCTTTACCCCCCTGCTCAGCCCAGAGCAAACCAAACTCCCATGGCGATGAGCCCCGTGCCTGCACACGTCCATCGAGTCGAGTCTGATCCGTGGATAGGCTTCCCTCGCGCAACTGAGTCGGGAGGCTAAAGCAAAAAATACGGCGCGTTTTCTGACTCAGCCCGCGCAATTGCGTTAAGTTACGCGTCTTTGATTCCTTCTGCACTTCGGTTATCTCGCAAGGCGCATGCGAAAATGAGCTATCTTACCTTGGTGACAGATGTTCGCGGCGACAACGAAGAGAGCTGCCGCCCTCACCGCCTCCTGGTGGTTCACGCGCGAGCGAGCGGGTGCAGCGGCGCGCAGCAAGTAAACATCACGTGGCGGACAGTCGCTCCGTCGCTCCTCTCGCTCGGATGGCTTCGTCCGCGAGCTGAGTGCGCCGGCTTTTGGGTGAGTCTCCCTCCGCCGTTCAAAGAGATTTTCGCAATCGCACGAATGGTACGTCACACGAGGCATCTGCCTACGAGAAAACTATCTTTAGAGCAAACGTGGCGTGTGTTATGTGTTTTTACTTGAAAGAAAAGGAAACACAGACCTGAACTAAGAAATATGTGAAGCCGTACATTTACGGACTCGTGCCCTCATGTCGCCTCTACGGCGTTTTGCCCGTGCGTGCCTCTCACGGCGCTTTCCAGTTTTGGAAAATGGTGTTAACTTACGTTTTTTTTTTTACAGTGTAGCCTCGTACTGTCTAAACATGAAACGCCAAATTTGACTCTTATGGTCGCAGCTTGGAACACGCAAACGTCGCAGCTCGGAACACGTGGAGCGAAAGCTAGTACTGTAGCATAGAGGGATCCTGGGTTCAGTTCTCACTCGTGCCCGTCTCGACCTGGATGAGCCTCGTATCGAAGTGCGGTCGTGTGTCACTTCTGCGCAATGCACATTAAAGGCCCCAAGTCAGCGGCGGTACAGACCTGCCACAATTGCTTACCTACAACGTGTGCCAATGCCGTCTTCCAAATGGTAAACTAAACGCACGCTGCATGAGAATCCAATCTTACTTTGTTCTGGCAAAAAAATGTATTGCCATTACGATTCCAAGATGTGACATATCTCAAGTTCGGCGTTAGTATTGCACTGATGTATTTTAACTAAGTATCTTCAAATAAAAAGTAAACGAAACATTTTTCAGAATTTTTTGAATTTGAAATCTTTTGGCCCGTTGGACTCGACTGTCTGCCCGTGCTGCCCTCTGCGCTTTTTATACGAGCGGAGAGCGCCCCCCCCCCCCCCCCCCCTGGCGGCGCCCCCTCATTGGTCAGAATGGGGCCAGAGCGCGTGTGAAACGTGAGGGGGCGTCGGCAGGGTTGGTACACGTCGGCACCCAGCGGGTCCATAGCCTCTTTATTCCAAATAAAAGCGAAATTGCCGTGGCCAGCTGCCACGGCAAGGCGCGACCGTGTCCACGTGTCACTGCAGCGACAACAGCCGCATTGTCACAAAGGATGATCGTCCCCGGTGGGAATACAAGGGCCGTGATGGTCAGTGCTTGTGCTTCGCGTAGGTAGATGTCCGGGGTACGGTCCGTGATGACGGCCAAGTTGCCACGTTTTGTGGCAACGCCCAGTCCAGCGGGACTTGCATCAGATGCGATCGCCTCTGATGGTGCTTCAATTCTCCAAGGGATCCGATGAGGAAGCATCTGCCACACTTGCCGTAGGGTGGCGATGTAGCCGTTGGGGAGAGGCTGGGAGCGGTGAAGTAACTTGAACAGTGGCCCTAACATATGTTAGTGGGCCCTGTATAAAGAAAAGTAAAAAACAAGGTGGCCCACATAGCGCTGAACGGTTTTAAGTGGAAGTGGCTGTTGAAGCTGTTGGATAATGCTTGCCAAGTCTTTCTTCCTTAGCGTGGTGTGTCCGATCATGTCGTCTCTTCCTTCCAACAAAAAGCCAAGGAAGCGGATGCTCTTTGTTGGCTCCGTCGTTGTGTCCTTCATGTTGACTTGGATGCCGCATTTGTCCAGTTGGACGAGGAAGTCCCGGGTGACTTTGGTGAGAAAGGCGGGGTCGGGGTGGGCGAGAAGGAAGTTGTCAAGGTGGCTCCACGCCCAAACCCCGACCGCACGAAGGTGGCGTGCAATGGCGGTGGCCAGTTGCCTCTGCCAGTCGACTTTAGGGGGGGGGGGGCTTTATGGAGAGACAGGCTGGTGGGTGGGGGGGCCTGCATGCCGGGTTGCCTGTCGCCTGGTGTCTTCTTCCTGGGAGAGGTCCTCGTCCTCTTGGTCGTCTGGTCGAGGTTGTCCAGGCTGGCCCTCTTGAGGGGGGACGGGGGGCTCATGCGCCTCGAGGTAACGTAGGACGCGCTCGGCCGCGATTTGATGGGTATCAGTCTTGCCTGGCTCCTGGAGGGGCTGGTTGGGGTGTCCTGGCTCTGGAGGCTGTAGGGGAATACCGGCGACAGCCATCGCTTGAGTGAGGAGATCGGGCACCTGGACGACATCTTGTATGAAGGCCAACGTCGGCTGGCCATCCACAATGCACCATTGGGCTTGTGGGTTTGAGAGCACTAGGTCTAAGTGGACCGGTTGCTGTCGTTGAACGTCGAGGTAGCGCGCGAGGTTTTGGCAGGTCATGGGCACTGCCGGTTCATGCGGGCCAATGGGCAACTTGCGGGCTTCTGGGAGCCGCAAAGGGGACTCTGGGAGAGTCGAAAAGGAGGAGACCACAGGGGGTTCCGCGGGGAGCACAGGGTGCTGTACTTGCTCGGTGGGGGTTGCCATTATTACCGGGCTAGTAGGGTGTGCGCGGGGAGCACTGACGGGGGGGGGTTGGAAAGTCCTGGAAAAGTTCCTTGAAAATCGACAGGCAGTCTCTGTTGAAGTGACGGGGACACCAGGGTTTCGGGGACTCGTCGGGGAGAAGCAAAAGTGGGTTGCGAATCACTTGTCCTTGGGGGGGTTCTTCCTCGGATTGTCCTTGCGGCTTTGCCGGCCTGGGTTTTTCCTGGTTTTAGTGGGGCTTGCGGTTCGCTGAGGCTGGTCGGCTCGTCGTGCTGGGGCTCCGAGGAGGTAGCTAGCGCTGGGGTCAGCATACCCGTCGAGAGCGGCGTTCCTTCCCGAGGTGGCGACGTGAGAGAGGAGCCGTACTCTATCGAAGATTTTGAGTCGGCTCTGCGATGCAAGGGGGGGGGGGTGGCTATCCCAAACCTCGAGGAATGCCTCGAGGAGCTGAAGCTCAAAGATGTCCCGTCGGGAGAGAAGTTGCGAACTTATGTTCGCATTCTGCACGTGAATGAAGGCCTCCCCGAGGTCTGTTCGTGTGGGGAGGTCATGCACGGTAAAGATGCGCTGCTTCGGGGTAGCCGGTTCGTAGACGGGGATCTCGACTGGTGTCGGTGGGGGGAAGGGATGCGCAGTCCCATACGAGGTCTGGAACGGCAGTGGGGGGAGGGGGGGGGGCTGGCAGAATGCAGCCGCCTGCGCTGCGGGCGCTGCGTCGTATCCCCCAAGGGCAGCCTGGATGGTGTATCCACTTGGTCCCTGGGTTGCCGTGGTGTAGGTGGCGGGGGGGGGGGGGCTGCTGCTGCTGGGTGTTCGTTCCAGAGGTGGGGAGACCGGAGGGTCCCTGCGAAGGTTGCGAAGGAACTGCGAAGGTTGCTGCCAACCACCAGCCGTCCGCCAACCCTTTCCATCGCCGAGGCTGTCCGAGAAGAAGTGCATCGGGCGCTCCAACCAGAGGTTCCCGTCACCACGGTGGCACCGAAGGAACCGGCGTTGAGCTACGCCGCGATGGCCCGACGACCGCCGCAAGCTCCCCACCAAGCCACGGCGCCACCCCGAAGAAACGCCCCAACGCCGCAGTACCCCCGACGACAGGAAGATCAGGCGCACGTTCACCCAGAGCAACCTGCGACGAGGAAGACAGACGTCTGGAGGACGGCCGACCGACGCCCGCTGCGTTACCACTGCTGGGAAGCTGACCATGTGTACCGCCGATGCCCATACCGAGGACTCGGGCTGCGCGGATTCCACCCAAATGACCCGCGCCCCCGGTATGGTGAACGCCCTCGGGAGATCGACGAGTGCCTGCGACGATCTCAGTCCCCCAAGCCTGCGTCCAGCCGAGAGTTCCGGTTGCCTTCGCCACGACGTCCAGCTTCGCTGATGCACCGACCCCGACGTGAAAGCCTGTCGCCCCTCACTCTACGCCGGGGAAACTAGGCGCGGCAACCCCTGGTGGTGGAGTTGCCGAAGACGACCGACGTAAAGAGCCTCGAAGAACGACGGAGCGCTCCCACTGTCCCGACGCTACGCATCACGACGATGTTCCTGCATCGGTGTCCAGCAATCTAAACGTTGTTATTGACGGCCTCAACGCATCGGCACTCGTGGACACCGGAGCAGACTACTCAGTCTTGAGTGGGAGGCTCTCCCGCCGCCTTCGAAAAGTCATGGCGCCGTGGGATGGACCACAAAAAAGAACCGCCGGAGGACACCTTATTACACCAGTTGGGAGATGCACTGCTCGCGTCGAGATTCATGGTGAGACGTGCCCTGTCAAGTTCGTCGTTCTGCAAGAGTGTTCGAGGGACGTTATTCTCGGAATGGACTTTCTCTGCGAGTATGGCGCCGTCATCGACCTCAGAGCAAACCGGCTAACTTTACGAAAACCTGTTTCACCACGGAAGGAAGCCAAAGCGACGTCATCCGCGGTCCGAGTCCTCACAAGTCACGTGAACTTACCGCCGCGGTCGAGTGTTTTTGTGCCTGTGGGGATCACCGAAGCTTTCTGCGGCGAAGTTCTGCTCGAGGGGAGCCTCCAGTTGCTTCTAGGAAGAGGAATAGGCGTCGCAAGAGGGGTAGCTGAACTTCAGAACGGCCGCACTGTGGTCCTCATGACGAACTTCCGAAACGAAGCGCAACACTTCACGATAGGTGCAGCCGTTGGCCACGTCGAGGAACTCCGAAACTCCTCAAAAATGGCCGCCATTACTGACAAATCCTCGCCACTTCAGCAAGACAATACGTTGCCAGCGCAGCTAGACATTGACCCTAAGCTTCTGGGCCCGAAATGACGCCAGCTGATTGACCTCCTCGCCGAATACCGCGACTGTTTTGCGACGTCGTCGAAGGTGCGCCAAACCACCCTTGCGAAGCACCGCCTCATTAACGAGGACGACGCGCGTCCTGTGCATCGGTCTCCGTACAGAGTCTCCGTGAAAGATAGGCAGGTGATCCAGGAGCAAGTTCAAGACATGCTGAACGACGACATAATTCAACCTTTAAGCAGTCCTTGGGCCTCTCCAGTAGTACTGG